ACAGTGCGATGTACAAATCCGTACGTTACATACTACAATAGTACATGTCTCCGTACGTACCTGATACAAATGAACACTTTGATATGGTTATCCTTTTAGTACATCTAGAAATTATAAAATAAAGCGAAATATTTCACCAAGAAATTTAAGATGCTTTCCAAATATTTTATTTCTTACATTGCACATTTACATTGCGTTGCAGAGCGCCTGACACAGCTAGTGACACACTCAATGCATTCGTCTGAGTACTTTTCCTGAGCCACCTTCGAAAGTTTTCTTGTCCTGCTTGATGTTGTCTATTATTGATACAGTTTACAATTTATTTTAAAACTACAAAAACTTTTAAAATATTGATTAACACATTTGTTTTTTTTTCTTAAACATATTGTTCACTACTGCTTCATTTAGATATGTAATTAATTAAATCCTCTTGCAATGTCGAATGTTTACACATATATTTCAAAAGCAGCCATTACAGCAAACAGAATAAAAACTAATTCGTTCACTTATGAACTCGATAATTTAATAGATAAAACAACGTTTGAAATATATTTTAATTCAATAAATGCTAAAAGTGAGATATCAGATTGCCCATTGTATATCAGAGTACCAGAACTAATAATCACTAACAACGAAGGAAATGATAATGTAAAATAGTAGTAAATATTATTTTATCTTTTTACTGTGGTCATCAAATGACCCGTGTACTGTAAACTGCTAGTAACAATTACTCTTCAACAATTTTACATATACTTTACGATCAACACAACCCATTTCTTTTTTGAAACTTTTTAAAAAGAAATTTTCCATAGACGACACTCCAGAAAAAAACTTATTTAATTTTGTGTAGGTTTCAAATTGTTTTTTACTCTTGTTTCTTTCCATTTTTTCTCAAACCAAACTTTTCTTCTACTTCTTCTAAGCCGAGCGAGCCCAAGTTACGACGAGTCAGAGGAAAATTATTAAATATTCCCTTTGTGGCGCCCAGCGAGTGCCCCGGCGGGGAGCGCGGGCGGAGCGGAGGCGGGGACGCGCACGGAGCGGGCAAGATGGGACGGGGAAGGCGGGGAAGAAGCAGGAGGGGGCGTGCAGGAATCTTCTATATTGTTTCACGGCGGAGGGGATGGTGGTTAATACATGGCAAGGGCCGCCAGTATGAGCGTACAAAGGCACCAGTTTGATTTAATGAATATTTAAACAGCGCCGCTGCTCCGGCAGAGAGGGCGATGGCGGAGAGGGGCGTGGCGAGGCGAGGCGGGACGGGGCGGGGCGGGGTCGTCGCGACGGGATGAAGCTGGAAGGGCGAGGAAGTAGATGAAGGCGGAGAGAGGGCGAGGGAATCAAGGCGGATTGTGTGTTGCGAGAGCTTGGTTAAGATAGAGGCGAGATTAAGTCTAAGGCAGGGATACAGAAAAGGAGATAGAGAAGGCTGGTGTTGTGTAGCAAGAAGTAAAGAACACGAGTGAGTAAGAAAAGGTGAAAATCAACCGCGGAGAAAGTGGAAGACAAAATGCAAGTGAAATAGAATAAAAATACAATGTGATGATTTAAATAGATAAATTAATTAGAATAAATATAAGGGTAGGCATACATGTGTGTGAGAGATAAATACGGAGCTGAGAACAATGTACACAGTCAAGGCAAAGAAGCAGAACTGGGGGCAGGAAAGCAATGGCAAGAAGAACGACGGTTGGATCGAAGTGAATGTGGGGTGGAAGGCGAGTTCTCGGCGCCAAGACGGCGGCCTACGTGCGAGATTATGGCAAAGAAATGCGAGACACATCACTAGAGCTCTCTCCTCTGGAACTATTGAGGTCGTGAAACGAACTTCCTAACTTCAAATACAGCGAAAGTTGCATCAAAGGGCTTCCCGACGGCCGCCCGAGGCCCTTGTGTTTAAGTCTGTGGGCCTCGCACTGACGCCTTCGCTCTACGAATACAGCGACTAGATTTTGTCGTCTTCTCTTTACTTCTGGGTTGAGTGAGCAGATAATTTAATCTTCTTAGTTTGTTCGAAAGAACAATGCTAATTATTCATTTCGTAGAATAAGACGAGAGTTCTTACCGAGATAATTTTAAAGTAATTATCCAAATTCCACGGACCTAAATATCAATTACTAGTGGTACAAATTCAATCAAATTTTAAATTCAATTTTTTTTCATATGTTATTTTTTTTCATTTTTTTTCAATGTCACATTTTGTGAAATGTTGATATTGTACCATGTTTCAGCCCTCGGACTTTCAATTTGTGTTTCTTAAATAGAAATAAAGTTTGAACACGTGTATTAGAGTAATGCAGTTAGATACTGTTATAGATTCCCTTTAGTTAAATTCGAGGTTATGGTAGATTTTCCCCTATAACTTAATTTCAGACTGAATAACTCTTCCTAGCCCTTCAATTACGGTGTTAGGTTTTCGGAATATTTGTCTTAAAATTTAAATCACAATATAATTTTAAAATAACTTTGAAAAAATGCGTATTGCATCTCAATACCTAGTCTATATTCAATGAGAAAGTCCAAAAGTAAAAATTAAAGCATTAAGGTCATAATATCGTGAAAAAACAAAGGTGATAAAAAAGGATGGAGTCAAGAAAGTAAAACTCGTTACAAAGAAAAGGTGCAACTTTCTAGACAAAGGATAACATAACTTCTTTCAAAATATGAACATAAACGATCGTTTCAGCAATGTTTCGACGCAAAAGCTTTATAAGAGGAGAATGTCGAATGAAGAAAACAGAGGTGATTTAGTCTTGGGAGCTTTCAGAAAAAGAAACGCTTTGACAACATTTCAATTATTCAGTAAGAAATTTACTCAAATTCGAGCAGTATATTGATTAAAACTATATTTTTGCATGTAATAAGTGATGTAGGAGATATTATTGTTGTAAAATGTGAAATATAGGTGTCTAACACGTTTTTGAAAGCATACATTAAATAAACAATGTGTAAATCAATTACAAGATTTTTTCTTCAAACTAAAAAAGGAACAAATAATATCAATTAATCAGGTTCTCTGTTATGTAATACGAAAAGAAAGATGACATTTTATAAGTCTTTTTCATCAATTTATTGCCATCGATTCAAATCTATAAAAATGAGCTAATGCTAATTTCCCCCCAGGGATACATCAAAACTTATGGTGAAAAGGTTACGTTGTGTTGATACTGCTACAAGCTAGTCAGCAGACGTACACAAGAGGTTACTCTTAATCTTTGTTTATAGTTCGAAAACTCTTCTAGCCCCTTCAAACCCGAATTTCTTGAGATATCCAGTAGTCTTCAAAATGGATCTTTTCTAGACTTACTACTGCATCTTATAGGTCTTGTGCTTTTGCGTAATCTAATTAGAACGAACGGTAGAAAGTGCAAAAAGGCGAAATTTATGTAAGAATCAATTGATTAAATGATGTTTTGCGAAATTTAATTGAATGGATCTGTAATTGTGTTTGTTAATGAACACTTATTAACAAGAACATTATTATGATTAATCATGCAGAGTGCCACCCATATGGTGTAACAGGCGGTCAGAGTCTGGCAATTGTAAATTCGGTTCCAGTATGAAAATAATTTCCTTTTGAAAATGATTTATTATTAAATACGCAATGGTCTCACTGGTTCATCTAGCGTTTAGGTGGTTTTCAAAACATGAAATTTCTAGCAACCAATATCTACGATAAAAATATAATTTTACGTTAATTCTAAAAACTTTCATGATATTTTCATTTAGACAAGAAACACACCATCGACTGAGGAGTAGCAAGGACAACAACGTACAACCGACGTGGCTAACAGAAAGAGCAAGGAACCGGGTTCGAATCGCGTGACGGGCAGACATTTCGTGCCAGTGGCGGAGACGTGGACAACTATGTTCGCCGGCTCTCTACATGAAACAGTTACCACGTATTTTTCCTGTAGACGGAGTACTCTAGCTTGCAAAGAAATTCCAAATAAATTTGTAAATCTGCAGTAAATAAGAGTGCAACAAGTTTTGTAGAAACGAATGGCTAAACATAAAACGTAAGTGCAATAAATTTGGAAACAATGTGTGCAACCAAAGTTGCTCAGAAAGTTTGTCTAGTGTCGCGAAGCTTAGAAGTCTTCAAGTTACATTAAATATGCAGAAGTTGAAATGATAAATATCGTTTTATTTACCGGGTAGAAAACTTTAATACTAATAAGTTTCAATGTTTTTGTTTGTAATAAAATACCCAACAAAAGAAAGAAAAGTGCGAATCGATGATGAGTTTTTGTTATTACACATTTTATTTTAATAAAAAACTTACTATTGCAGAATGATATTTCAACACATATAATAGCAGGAAAAAATGCGACAGTGAAGACAATTCATATCTCCCCCCCCCAAAAAAAAAGAAAGAAACAACGGTGTTGGTACTAACAACATTTCTCGGATATTCAGGGCGAATGTACTTAAGTAACCGTAATATTCTGCAGTTATAGAACGACAACATCGGGTTTTTCCTTCCTTTCTTTATCTTTCCGCATTCGGCCCCACAGCCTATCAGCAGAAACTCCGCATTTACGCAGAAGCTGCGATGCAGTTAGCGCGCTGCCTTCATAATATAATTATCGTTGGAGGGCGACGGCGGCCCAACAGAAGCGGCGACGGTGATGGGTTGGAGCTGGGCCTGCGGCTTTGGGCCGGAATAGTAAAGAGTAAAGCGGAGGATGAAAAAGAAGGGCGGAGAATATGGAAAAGGATAATTAAAAACGAAATATTAACGTTAACAATTATGCGGATAATGAGGACAAGAAGAAAGTAAAAGAGAATACAAGAAGCGTATGATGCGTTCTAGGGAATATATTAAGTTGCTGTATGACTCGTGAGCTAATGACTGTTGTATGTGATCCATATGTGAGTACACTGTAGAAGATGATAAAGAGAGACGCGTGAAAAGAAGGGCGGTGTGGAAGTATGAAAATTAGAGGAGTGGTGGTGTAGGAGGAGGGAGAACGAGAAAGGAAGGAGTGGAAGATAACCGGAAGCGGTAGCAGAGAGTTGGGGGTAGTGAAGGTGTAGCGGTTGAAGGGGCAAAGATGGATGCCGAAGTTGGAGTGCGAGCGGCGATGGGGCTGGTGACGCCGGGGCGAGAGCGAGGGCGGCAGAGAAGGTGCAGTGGGGCGGGTGGCGCCGCCAGGCTGCTCCTCTTTCATGTCTGCAGATACGCAGCGCCCGCGTGGCTGGCGAGGATTCACAAAAGCCCCAGCCCCGAGAGCAATGACGCTCGGATGCACCTATACAAAACGACTAATCTGCAGGCCCCGGTCGCCGCCGCCGCCGCCGCCTCCCCCGCAGCTGCCCTTCCCACGCCGCCTGCTCGCGCCAACACACGCCCTTTTTGAAAAGGGAATATGTTATAACGCGTGAGCTTTCGACGCTAACTATCGACGGGCCGCCAGCCGGCGCGGCTGCCCGACCCTCTGTAAGCCTCCCTCGCAATTACCGCACTTCCAGCGCTACCTGATACATGCGAACGCGGCGCTGCAAAGCCCGTTTCAGGGGGCGGCGACGCGGCCACGCCCGCAGTGACAATGACACACGAAGGGCGGCAGTAGGGATGAAGCGGCAAGTAACATTTTACAGAGTCAGCGGTGTTGACGTCTAGTGAATTTAATAATCAGAAATATTGAGCCGAATAGTCAGCGAAAATAAATGGAATCAATATTACGCAACTGTCTACTAAAAGGTAGAAAATATTTTTCTCATTATATTATCTATTTAGTAGGGCTTCAAATTCAGACGTTGGGTAAGATTTTGTATGATAAAAAAATGATAAGGAACAAATGACAATGAGGGAACATTACACATAACTATTGTTTGGACATAATATTAATGCATCCCACAAATTTTTGACATCATTAACGAGTATTTACAGAGACTTAATTTTACTCATAGTTTGTCAGATTGATATATATATATAGAATTGTTTCTTATACATTCTGTTGAGCTTGACAGAATCACGAGCTGCGAACTGTCTTATTATTGCGTCATGCTGGCCATAATGCAGAGAGCGTCTACGATTTTAAGATGTGCCATTGCTTGCCGCCAGAGAGCATACATAACCAGACAGCATCAGCTAATCACCTTCCTAAACATCTAAAATTATTTTACACAATTGTTTAATTTTTATTTATTCCTTATATCAAGGATTTAAAATATGAGAGACACTTATTGAAGTTATAGACTTGAATTCACATACTCGTAATTCCAATATAGACATTTTCAGTTTAATCTATTATCACTTATTGAAATCACGCATTTGGATGCGTAACTTTGACATTATTCTTCAGCCGGCTGGCTCACTTTGGGCTTGACTTTAGGGGGAAGCATTTTATGCGAATAGTAGTGTTTTAATAATGTAACTTTGTGTGGAGAGATGTTACCTCGAACTGAATTTTTCGAATTGGAAAACAGTTCCTCTAGTGTCACTAATCGGGAGAACAAATACTGATGAAAAGATCAAAAACATAAAATCCAATTAGAATGAAGTGTTAATCGCAACGCTGCATCTGAACGTGCGCTACTATTCTTTTTCACCAAATATATATTAATATTACCCACGCAGCAACCGTGTATTTAATCTCTAGAAACAATCTCGTGGTGTGTGTCAAAAAATAAAAATTCTTCGAGCAAGTTACTTAACAAAATAAATCGTAAACCATAATTCAACGGAAGTTCATTTTCTATAGCAATAAATCTTTGATTGAATTTACCCACGAATAGAATAAATTTTCTATTTTGCGAGACAAGTTAAAGAGCTATCAAGCGATAAGCTGTTTCTTATAAAAACTTAGTAATTTTCATGAATGTAAAAATATTTTATTTAATTATTATATTTTTCTATCAATATTCATTACTTTCCTAGCGGTATCAACAATTATAATTGGCGAAATGTGTATTTCAAACGAGTTAGCGGTCATTGTTTTTGGTTGTAACCCATACTTGTTAGGCCGCACTGACAACAGGAAGCAATAATGCCGTTCGTTCACTGTAATATAAAGAAATACTTTTATATTTTTCGAGAATATTGCAACACTATAGTGTTTAATAATTACTATTATATATTGTTCGATCAATTTACAATTGTTTTCCAACGCTATGTAACTTTTTATTATTTTACTTTTTCGCATACTGCTAACACCGAAAATTACAAGGCTTCAAAACTAAGGGAAAGGCTAAGGAATCTATTGCAGTAACAATCGAATCCCAGATAATGAATAACATGCGTAATAATGAGAACATTTAACGTTGAGTGAAGCATTGCTCGCAGGGTGTGACGTCTAAAATAAACATTCAGACAACTGTAAGAGAATGACACAGAAGTAATAACAACAAGATAACTTTCTATTTACATTGTTCATCCAGTATACTATCAGGCGGTTTAGTGTGTATCTCACTCTACCGGATGTTCAAGGGAATGGAAACACATACAAATAAACGTACAGGGACGGGATAGATGCCCGGACGAACGGATGAGGGAATGAGGTCGGCGGACAGACAAGCGGATGAGTCTGTCGGCGCTGCAGAGAAACATTTGCTAGCGAACGACGGGCGACTGCCAGAGAGCCGCCCAAATACTCATTCGAGTTAATAAAACGTGTTTCAAACTCCCGTCATCAGTTGTATGACACGTTAATTCTGTATTGTAATTTCCTGATTGATTTCTGAATCCAAATGACTACCACAAACAAACTGAATATCAGGACTGGGTAGCAATATTGAGGTCTGAAAATAAAGTCGAATTCAAGAAGACTTCGTTACTCTGTGCGGAATAGAAGAGAAAGTTCATCAGCAAAAATTGGAGAAACTATTACATGAACTGCTACAAATCAAGAACGAAATAGTTATTTGATATTTTGTAGCTGACATCAAACCACTATTCTCGAAGAATAGTCAACAAAAATTGATACTTTGAATAGTTAATAAATTATTGTAAAAAATCATTTTATGATTTTTCATTCAAGCAAACGGCTGATAATCGACACATGTCTTGTCAAATTATGAATTAACATAATCTAAAATAATTCATAATGAAAATAAATATTTAAAAAACAGTGTTTTTCTTATTTCATATAATTTCACTTCAGTAAAATTTATCACAACCATTTTAATGTTTTGAACCATTAAATTCTTCATTTTTAATGTCGAGTTTCTTTAGAATGATGTTCATTTTTTAACAATAATATTTTCTTTCTGCTTGGACCTACATCCAATACGCATGAAAAAGTATTAAGCTGAAACTCTCAAGAATAAGAATGAAATTCTGAAATTTGGTGGCCTGAGCATGATAGGTTGAATAATAGAAATAAGAGAACATTACTAAATTAGAAGCAGTTAGAGCATGAAGAAGAGAACATTACTGGGCCGAGAAATAGAAAGGGAAGTATGATAGAAACTAATTTACGAATCTTCAGAATGTATATTTTATGAAATTGAAATCGACAATTTCAAGTCAAGCTTTGATAAACATGTAAACAGTAAACAGTAAGTACAGATTATTGATTAAAAGTACATTTTTATTGCATAAATAAGAGTGGGCAGAAATATTATTCGAACGATTAAAATATAGATAAAACTGTCAGTCTTCATTTCGTTCAATAGCATTCAGTTACTTCATTGTTTCGAAAATGATTACCATGAACACAAACTTGGAAGGTTGTATAAATATTGAATAACACTAAGATAATAGGTATCCAAAATTGTCATCAGCTGTTTCAAGCTTACTTTAACGGCACTCAAAGCACTCACATCTACATAATGAGAGCATTGTAAAACAATTATAATAGAAATCTAGATTAAATATTATATATAATATATATTTGTATTAAATTCTGAAACAAACATTATACATTTACTTTCATGACAATCGTCTTTTTCAGTAAATCACAAATTTGTTTCTTCTTACGTAAATTTAGAATTAAATTAGATGCAATTTGAACTACTAACGCGCCTAAAGAATGTCTTGAGAAATATTAATTACTTAAATTATATTAAAAAATAATTTCTGGCACGTGTATTTAAGTCAAAATATACTATTCTGAAACATCACTGTGACTGTCATCACGCTAACCTGAGCTGTACCCAAGATGCACAGTGATCTAAACGAGACCTACAGGAGTATACTACCTTTTGCAAGGAAATGAATTGAGTTCCACACCACTCAAGAGACGTCGACGTCCCCGTTGGTCGCCCTCACGTCCCGCAGGCGGCAACGCTTTTAAATATTTGCATTGCCCTCCCAGGGCCGTCACATCGCACGCAGCCACGCCCACGCCTTGCAGCTTCGGCTCCCACCGCCACGC